TATTGGGATTACTGTTTCCAGTTAGAGGTCACATTTTTACTATCTGTCTCAGTAAACTGTGTAACAAACCTATAAATTGCATCTAGAATGAAATTGGTGAATGAGTTTCTTTTTTTCAGTGCTGTTAACCTCATGCCCAATCGTTACTTGGGTGTTATTGGTCGCCATGTGAACGCCGACACAGAAACTGGTTTTGGTGGCGATTGCATGGATCTGACCGTGAATCCAGCCGCTACTTTGCTCGCTACTGGATGTCCAGCTACACAAACTATCTTCTTTTGGCCACTAACCCAATGGACAATGATGGATCAGACACCGTCAAAGCCAAAAAAGGGTAAACGATCCGCACAACTGGCCCCATATCAACGCGAACACCTGTCCGGTTTGATAAACGAGACATCTGAATTCGGTGTTGAAGATACATCTGACACAAACTGCGATACAGATTCTGACAGTGATGATGACAGCTCTCAATAAACAGTTTTTATTCCATTCTGAATTTGTCTTTTTGTTGGGGTCCATTTGCAATCGCTTTTGCGTTTTTGATCCTATTATAATCTAAGATAATGTTAAATTTTCGTTGACTCGAATGCCTCCTGTAAACCCCGAGCATATCTTGGCATACCCATAATTCGTCCCCCAGGAATCACATTCAGAGTCCCTCTAACTTGCGGTAAGCTAGCTATACAAGTACTTCGTATTGTTCTGTCTTCGGTCTCAAGATAAACATATGTTTTGCGTGTGGTCATAAATTCCGAAACACAGAGATGGCTCTCCTCGGAATAGTTCACTGCTCTCTCTGTGCTAATGAGCCCACGAGTTTACGTACTCCTGCATTGAACGTAGTGAATGTGTCCGATCACCGCTATCTACATCGGATTGCACGAGTCTGGTGGGGAAATCGGACAAGCAATATGGAGACCAGAAGCAGAGTTCGAGGTAATCGCGGGCGCCCACTCGAGTAACTGACCACTATCGAAAAACTACGCCAGTGGCATCATGTGAGACAGGCCATCTACGAAGTATGGTGACAGCAAGAAGTTATGACGCAATGTTTATCCATCCTATTCCGCTGTAGTTTTTACAAGAGGACCCTTGGCCAAATGACCAACTCACTCCATTGCAGTTGTAACCTATTCGCTCTCCCCTACCGAACCCAGCATATTCGTCAACTCGAAGACCAACGTTGAACCTCCATATTTAAAAACCAAAGGCGTCGACTTATCTGGACCAGAGTCTAGTACCTTTGGAGATAACTTATTTACCAGGAAACCTCCATTTCAGCTAGAGGACTGATACCTTTTGGCCGCAAAGTTGGGGTGGGGGTTGACAGGCCTTATATCGATGGGAACCAGGTGAGCAGAAACTTGTAATGTTCAGTTCATTGATCAAGATGACGTTGTTGGTGAATCAGTGTGCCATCGTATTCCTAACTACGTCACTTCCACCCNGCTACTACTATGAACAGTCACAGCCTTTTCCATCTCTACATTTTTCGCCCCAACACCGTTCGCGGTCTATCGGAGATTCGCGCGCCCGCGTATTTGGTAGGATGGTCTTGATGTAATCCATGGTTAATCCTTTGTTCGTGCGCCAAACTCTACCGCTGTTTTGAGAAAATCTTCGATAATGTTGTGTCTCGCTCAGCTATTACTGAACCTGGTTTTACGATGCTTGACGTTCACTCAATGAGCGTCGTACGCCTCTTTCGTCAATCGTCCTCACCCCACGCCGGGGAACCCAGATTACTTCGCGTTACTTTGAAGGATGAGAATGACGTCGAGGACGTTTTTCTT